AAACTAGTAGCAAGGCTGCTGCAGCTGTTTGGTGAAAACATCGGATCTGAACCCATTTGGAGCACACGCACGCGCACACACACAACGCAGCGGCCAAAAGGACTTGGTGTGACATGTTCACATTCACTTTGGGAGCCGAGCAGACGCGCAGCCTTCCCCCCCCTTCCCCTTTTCCCAGCTCACGAGCTTTGTGCCTTCCCAGCATAAACTGGGATCTGCTGGAAGAGGATGAGCAGAGGTTTGGTTTTGTGGTTTGTTTTTTTTGTTTTTTCCCCAGGTGGGCATCAAACCCACCTGGCAAATCTTCCCCCCCCCAAAAAACCAACCCCAGGAGCATGGAGGCTGCACAAAAGCAAGCTGGGGGCTTTTTTTTTTTTGTTTGGTTTTGGTTTTTCTTTTTTTTTTTTGGCTGCTCGCTGCGAAACCTTTCGCTGGTCTGGAGTTGAAAAGAGTATTAGCCACACTGCAAAGCGGAGCACTTCACACAAGGAACAGTCCTACCCGCAGTATCAAAACCCCTGAGTAACTATACAATCGAACACGGTCGAGTGAAATGAAGCGGAGCCGGGGAAAACAGAGGTGCCGGGGGAAGAATCCACCACCCTGGCTCAGCTTTCCCTGGCTCCCGGCTCCTCCGCCCCGCCTCCGCTGCTGGTTTCCGTAACCCTGTCCCCAAAAACCTGGCAGCTCAGTAGGAGACCTGGAGCTCAGCAAAACCCACGCAATTAAAGCCAACCGCCAGTATCAAAGCCGGGCTTAGGGAAAAGGGTTACTCTTCACAGTCTGAATAGCTGGTCCTTGGCACCGCACGCCGAGAAAGGACCAGTTTTATTGTTGCAGCTTATTTTTTTTTTTTTTTTTTAACTGAGGTATCTGTTACACATCCCGACTTGATTCTTTCCCTGAATTGGATACAAAAACAATCTGTTAGTCCCTGTCTATTTCCAGTCTAGTTGTGTAAAGCTTATAAACATTAATACTCTAGTAGTGTCAAAGCTGTTTAGCAGTTCAGTGATTCGAGTGCCTTTCTGTGCAAGAAAACACAATGTTAGCATGTGATACATAAGCAAACCCACCCCGTTACTAACCTCTGCTCCCCAGGACCAGAGAAGAAAGCATAAGGAAAAGCAAGAAGTCCCCCAGTCCCACACATAGGAAACAGCCCCCCAAACCCACCCCCAAATAAAAAAAAAAACCACCCAAAACAACCAACCAACCGAAAGAAAACAAAAAAGGGGAAAAAAAAATAAAATACAATATCCCAATCTGAATGAGCCCCCGAGTCGGGAAAATCCCCTCCGAGCCTGCGAGGATGAAATGCCGTGGAGGTCTGCGGGATCACACGTGGGGAGAGGGGGTGTCCTTCCTCCAGCCAAAAGCAGGCGGAGGTGGGACGCGGCGGAGCAGCATCGATCTCGGGACACGTGCATTCTCGCCCGCTCGCCCTTTTCCTCCCACCGGGTCCTCCCGATGTTGGGCAGGGGGCGAACTCAGGCTGTAATGGATAAACTAATGTATAGAGAGTGCGGAGCCTCTCGCGACGAGAAGGGTTGAGACGAGAGGACTCAGCTCTCCAGGACAGAGCAGCAACGCAGCTGAGGAGATGAAAAAGGAGAACCTGATATTTGAGAGTTTAAAGGATTATTCATTTTGTTTTCCATGTCGATTTTTAAGCCCCATCCTCAGGCTGCTGACAGGGCTTGTGGGTTTTTTTTTTGGTTTTTTTTTTTTCAAGCTATGCTCTTTTTCAGTAGTATAAAATAACAGCTTCGGGGAGCAGGACATCCTGGGAGCACAGGGACCGCGCCACGGCTGACCAGAGGTATTAAAAGGAGGGCTCCTAAGTCTCCCAGAGCGCCAGGACAGGCTCAAGTTGCTCGGAGTATGGCAGAAACGCCCGGGCAGGGAAGGACAGACCCCTCCGGGCTGAGCGGCGCAGGAAAACACAGCTCGAGCATCCTCTGCCACCCAGAGCTGAACACTCCCACCAGCTCAGCTCACCCGCGGGAGCGGATAAAAGGGAACCTTCCGCTTCTCATACTGGGATGACACACGGCAACTCACCCACCAGCAAACTGGTTTGTAGGAGGCTGAAGCTCTGGAGGCATAAGGTGGCTTTCGTTTGGGTTGTCATATATCTGCTGGCTCGGGTGGTTGTTACGGGGGGACCTACGCGCAGGTGAAAAAACTAGAATGACTTCTTTTGGTGCCTCTTACAAAGGTCACCCAAACACAGCTTAGTCCTGGAGCGCAGACAGAACGAGACGTGTCTGGGATGAAGTCCCAGCAGAGCCGAGGAGGTGGCTGGGTGCCGCGCCACGAGCCCACGCCGTGCTTTCGGCCATCAGCCACCACTTCCCCGGGGAGAGGTCCGGCCGCTCTGCAGCCCAAGCAGCGCCGTCACCTCCCAGCTGCACTAAGCAGCTTTTAAAAAAGATCCCGGAGCTTGGAAAAAAAAATATAAAAAAAAATAGGGACTTCAGAGACACCCTGATGTCCAAAATGAAGGATCTGCTAAGTCAGCAGCTGCTCTTGCACTCTTTTCCTATCTCTACCCGTCCTCCGGCGTCAATGCACGTGTCCTGGGATGATGTTGTTCAGCTTGTCCCCTGTCAGCCTAAAGGATGGGGAAACCGCTGCCTCTTTGCTCAGCTTTTCTTTGTCTTTGGTGATACAATTAAAAATAATAATAAAAAAAAATAATAAAGACAACGTCAGCAAACCCACATATAAAAAAGAAGCGATAAGATATGCCAATACTTCCTGAAGAGGTTAAAAAAAAAATAAACCACCCCAAAACAAACAAAAAAAAAAATAAAACCCCAACAACAAGTACATATCTGAGGTATTTCATCTGCTCAAAAAAACCTGACTTGGGCCCGGAGGATGGGAAGGACGTCACCAGGGCAGGATGAAATGGTGCTAATGGTGCCTGGACCTGATCTGCGGGCTGGGGAAAGCAGGCGGGGGACAGGGGACAGGCCAAGCAGGAGGAGAGAGAAGACAGAATGAGGCCACCTGAGCAGGAGCCGAGTTCGGGCAGTCACCGAGCCAGAGCCGTGGCCAGCCTGCGGCTGCTTTCAACCCGAGGTTTGAGGGGGGAAAAAGGGAGGAAGGGCTCGATTTCCCTTTCCCTCCTTCCACCCAGGAGAGCAAAAGGTCTTACTCCACTGAGAGGGCGCCGCTTGCTTTCTGCTCACGCACAATTTGAAGGGGACGGGGCAGCCGTAGGCTCGTTCAGAGACGGAGGAAAAGACGCGCCTGTAACCTTAACCGCGACACCTACACCCGCCCCACAGCCCCGCTGAAGTAGATTTCGCTTATCGCCTCCTGTTTTCTCAGCGCACGGACGCGGAGCGCTTCCGCCGAAAGACACCTTAGGAGAAGGAAGTCGCTCCAGGAAGCTCAGCTCAACCTAAAGGACAGCCCTTTTCGTCTCAAGGGGGCAGAGGATGGAAACGGCGAGCCGAAAGAAGTTGAGGCTGTCAGGGTAAATGTTAGTGGGATGAGTTCCTCAAGGAGAGAGAGAGAGAGAAGGTCGAGGGCATTTAAAACTTGGCTGAAAGCTTGAAGAAGGCAACAGTAAGGGAGAGGGTGGCACCAGCCATGAATGAAGCAGCTGATGGAGAGGTTAACATCTCTATGGGTCAAATGTAGCGGTGAGAAAGTCTTTCCCCTCTTGCCAAGACCTCAGAGAGGAGGGAAGGAGGCTCAGAAGCCGAGAGCACGTGTTTTAGGGGAGGACATACCAAGACCGGACCACGACAGAGCCAGAAGGAAAGCGAGGAAGCTCGCCTGCTCTGCAGCCGCACGGCCTTCTGCAGCACAAGCCACGGGAGGAGAGGGGCAAGGCACCCCGCCGGCTCTTGGGATTGTCGACACAACAATGTTGTTTTGTGGAAAGAGTCCTTGTGGCTACTGGTTGGAGGAGAACATCCCCCCCCTCCGGCCCTTCTCCCTGCCCCAGCTCTTTCCACCTGCCTTGGTGACGTCTCAGCCATCTCAACCCGCAGCTCCTAGAGACGATCCCTGATTGAAAACCGCCAGGCATGTGTCCATCGTGTCCCCCCCCACCCCTCCATGTCCCACCCCCCAACAGGAACGCAGCAAACCCTGGGAGGAGGAGGAGGAGGAAGAAAATAAAAAGCAAAAGGGAGGAAAGGAAGGGGAGAACAAAGAAAAAAGGCCGGACAAACAGACGATGAAGAAAAACTCGCTGGCATGGAAAGGTTTCAGCATCAGCATCATCATCTTGCCGTTGGCCAACCACAAAAGCAGGTTCCTTGAGATGAGGTAATCCGTGTGACTCCTTCCCGGCTCGCTCCCTGCCCAGAGCAGAGAGGAAGAGCTGCCGGAGGCCAGTGTGAGAGACAGCAGGCTCGGCCGGCCATCAGAGAGGCCCGCCGGGGGA